TTTTCCGGAGATTTCATCAGGAAATTAATGGTACAGTATCTTACTGTGATCAAAAGTTGCTGTACCAATAAAGTATATTTTTCTGAATTTTAACCACAGAAATGGACATAGTGAAGTATTTTAAGGCAAATGAGTGTATTTTTAGTCATTTTTGAGAAACTTTTTTTTTGAGATTTCATCAGGAAATTATTGGTATAGTATCTTACTGTGATCAAAAGTTGCTGTACCAATAAAGTATATTTTTCTGAATTTTAACCACAGAAATGGACATAGTGAAGTATTTTAAGGCAAATGAGTGTATTTTTAGTCATTTTTGAGAAACTTTTTTTTTGAGATTTCATCAGGAAATTATTGGTATAGTATCTTACTGTGATCAAAAGTTGCTCTGATCAAAAGTTGCTGTAGCAAAAAAGTATATTTATTCTGAATTTTAACCACAGAAATGGACATAGCGAAGTATTTTAAGGCAAATTAGTGTATTTTTAGTCATTTTTGAGAAACTTTTATTTTTCGGAGATTTCTTCAGGAATTTATTGCTGTAGTATTTTACTGTGATCAAAAGTTGACGTAGGTAAAAGGTTTATTTTTTCTAAATTTTAACCACCGAAATAGACATAGCTAAGTATTTTAAGGCAAATTAGTGTATTTTTAGTCATTTTTGATAAACTTATTTTTTCGGAGATTTGTTCAGGAATTTATTGCTGTAGTATTTTACTGTGATCAAAAGTTGACGTGTGTAAAAGGTTTATTTTTTCTAAATTTTAACCACCGAAATAGACATAGCTAAGTATTTTAAGGCAAATTAGTGTATTTTTAGTCATTTTTGATAAACTTATTTTTTCGGAGATTTGTTCAGGAATTTATTGCTGTAGTATTTTACTGTGATCAAAAGTTGATGTACGTAAACGTTTTTTTTCCCAAAATTTTAACCACAGAAACTGACATTGCTAAGTATTTTAAGGCAAATGAGTGTATTTTTAGTCATTTTTGAGATTTTTTTCAAGACCTTACTGGTATAGTATTTTACTGTGAACAAAAGTTGCCGTAGCAAAAAAGTATATTTTTCTAAGGTTTTTTGTCAAAAAAAAAGTTCCGTGAAAATTTACACTTTTCCTGTCATTTTTCTTTGAAAACTAAAGAATTTTTTCAAAAATTTTGTAAAATTATTTTTCTAAAGGTTATCATTTCCTGCATGTTTCTCATCAAATTATGGCATTTAAAGAACATTTTTAGGAATTTATTTTTATGAAATTTTCCGTCAAAAAGTGAATTTTTTGTCATTTTTTGTCAAAATATAACATTTTGACAAAAATTGTAAAAATTATTTAAAAAATTTTTATTTTTTCCTGAATGTTTCTTATCAAATTAGAGCATTTAGAGAACGTTTTTAGAAATTATTTTTAATGACATTTTCTGTCTAAATGTAAACCTTTCATGTCATTTTTTTTTTTAAAAATAATGCAGATTGACTTTGACATTAGGGCTTTTAGAGAACATGAATTTTTACAATTTTTACAACACATTTTTACAAAAGTTTAATATTTTTAGAAAATCTTTGCAAAAAATCACAATTTGAACTTTTCTGTGTGCTTCACATCTAATTAGAGCATTTTAAGATTTTTTTATTTCTTGTCAAAAACTAATACATTTTGACAAAATATTTGTAAAATTATTTTTCAAACTCTTTATTTTTTACATGTTTTTAAACAAATTAGGGCATTTAATTTTTTTCTTTTTAATTGTTTTTGCAATTTTTTTGAAAAAAGTTGCATGTCATGTTGGTCAGAAAGTGAAAAAAATTTTTTTGGCATTTTTTTGGAAAAAATCTAATATCCATGTTGGTCGGAAGGTGAATGTTTTGGGGGGAAAAACAATTAAACAATTAATTTTCTGAAAATGTCCCTCAAAAATACTTTTGACTTGAAATACTGTATGTCACTACGTCAATTTGTACTTAAATTACTTAAAATTCAGATTTTTTTTTTTTGGTGTTGACCAATTGACCAAAAGAATTAACATACAATTATAGTTTTCTGAAAAAGTCTCTTTAAAAATAAAACTTTCTCAAAATTGAATAGAAATGCACTGATTTACCTTAAAATATGTTGAAATGTATATATATATATTTCAAAAGTAAAATATAATAATTGTTTACTCTGGTCCCAGTGCAATAGTCCAGTAACACATACAAGCAAATAAAGATAAGTAAAGTAGTAATATAAATATAGATACTCTGATGGTAAATAGAAAACCCAAAAGTGAAATGAAAATCTAACAATGACAAAGAACTGAAGTTTTGAACCAGTGAGGTGGAGTGCAATTAAAAAAGGTCACAGTTGTCCAGTGTAAGTCTGTGCAAACAACCGCATTTTGTGCAATGTATGTTAATGAGTGGGTGTCAGGAAGGGGGGGCTGATGTGTGTGTGGGGAAAGCAGATGGGGGGTAGCTCTCTACTGCCTCCTGCATGAGGGAGAAGGGACAAACAGGACAAACAGAACCTTTTATAATTGCCGAAAAATGAAGTTGTAAAACCAGCCCTGTCTCCATGTTGCCACTAGATATAAACACATATAAAGAGCGCTTTTTCACTTACCTCACTGTGTTGTGAAGAACTACAGTAAATCCAGGGATAAGAGTGGATTTGAATTAAACCTTGACATTCTTTTCCATTTTTCTGTCCCAATGTTGAAGAATTATTCGTAGGGTTTCTGAACCAAGTCCATCCCATCAGTAGAGGTTACATAAAGTTCCACCCCACTTGCTCACTGCAACACTGCTTCAGTGGCCAGACAGACAGGTCATAGGTCAACAGGTTAAAGCATGTGAAGGAGATATTCCAAATTGTTGTGGAGACGTGAGGTCGAAAAGAACATTTGAAGGAAGGAAAACTATGTTTTCACCAGTTGAGTGAGTAAAAATGGGTTGAATCGTTGGCCTTATTAGCATCTTGTCACTGGCCAGGTATAGGGGCTTCATGGGCCAGGAGTGCCCCCAGGCCAAATGTTTGGAACCCCTAATTTTGAATCTAAGGCTAGACGTATGGGCGCCTTCACTGATTATTTTGTTTCCTGTTGGTTATTAAACAAGTATAAATACTCAATAAAGATGATCTCGAAGATTTAGTCTGATTACTGTTTTTTTTTTTTACTACGTTGTAATAAGAGCAAAATCAAAATAATTTTCCATCCAGGTCACAAGACTCACTGAATCAGAGACAGAAAACAAATCAAAAGTATTGCACCTAATCTTAAGCAATTGGAGCTGAAGTGGAAACATGATTTGTACCAAACTTAAAATGAAAATCAATGATACCTGCATTCAAGAAGCCTGTGATTTAGATTTTTAAGGGTACATTATTTTGAAGTGTGAATGTGTTCTGCTGGATCAGGTTCATTATGTTTGTGAAGTCATGCAGCTCCTTGTTCACGTTCACTACAGAATAAACAAACTGGCTTTTGTTTGAAACTTCTGTGTGTAGACTGGCAAAATGATTGGTAAAAACCTTGAGATTCAGAGTGGAAAGAAACAGTAGGAGAAATAGATACGGGGAGAGAGAGATAGATAGATAGAGAGAGAGAGAGAGAGAGCAGAGTTGCAGAAAAATAAATGAAAAAGAAAAAAAAAGTTTGGATAGAGGTGGAGAAAATAAAATGGATAAAAACAACAAGTGAAGGTGTGAGTGAGAGAGACGGAGTGTCAGCTGTAGATATTGAGTGACTTCCATATGTGACTGCAATTCAAAGCTGCATATTAAATGTGCCTTCCATCCAATTGTGAAAGTCTGCAATCATTTTCTCCTCAGTTTATACCTGCCACTCATTCTATCTCTTCCTCATTCCTCTGTCACGTCATCTTTCATCATCATCATCATCATCATCATCATCATCACTGGTCACTTCAGACAGACGTAGCCGTCCTCTTCTCAGGGTCTCCTGATCTACTGGGTACTGGCACTAAAATTAAAACAATATTTGTCAGAGCATGTACCAAATATTCTCTTTTTCTTTTTTCTTTTTTTTCTAAACTGAACGACATCTACCTGCTCCTCACACTGGTTTGTTTACTACCAGCTCGTGAGCACATAATCATACGTTTCTAGGCGTAAAATCTCAGCATGGTTTCACATTAAAGCGGTTTTGTTTTACAGTCTTTGGCTTCACGTGGTTTCAGTGGCCCACGTGCTGACAAAAAAAATATATTTGGTAGTTTAAAGTTGACATTTATGTTCTGTGTATGCTGAAAACTGTGTGGGATGTTCACAAATAAATCAAACTTTGATGTAAACTAATGAAAAAAAGTTCATATTTCCTACATTTACAACATTTTTCTTTTTTATTTCTTCTTTAGACCACAATCTTAGTCTTAATAAAGTTTTACTTCTGTACATTTTTCTTGATTTGTTCTGATATTAATTAAAGGAGTGAAACATCCGACATCTACCTGCTGTTATTTGTCTTTTTGTTCATTAAAAATTATGTGGATTTATCTCAATTAATCATGATTAATCTACATCTGCCACGTGATTAATTGAATTGTTAGATAGTCATTATAAATATGAATCACACACATGACCGTGGGTTCTGGCTCTGATTCCGACACTGACAAATGCAGCCGTTTGCTGTGTCATAATGACAACATTTCACTTTCACTTCAGAACCGTGTTTACGTCACATCCTCTGGGCAAAAACTCAGCATCGCATTATCACGTTTTCATTACGAGAGGAAAAAAAACATTACACAAATATGCTGATATCGGCCAATAGTAACGGCCGGCCTGTGTTATCAGACATCTCTATCTACATTAATGTATAATGTCATCCTGGGACAACGGTGTAAGGTATCTGATGCTAAGAATGCATCGACCGGTTGTATCGTGAGACATTATAAAAGTTAGAAAATAGACAGGACTAATTTGGCCAATGAGAGGGAAGTGATGGATGTTGTTGTTCTAGAGCCTCCAGAAAATAAGAGATGTTTTTTTCCCCTCCTCCTCTATAAACTAACCATTTAAATGATTGAATCAATGAAGTGCGGAACCAGATGGATGTAAAGGGTGAATAAGCATTTTATGGGGCTGAGAAGGAAATAAAAGTGCACGGGTGAATTGACCTGACCATGACCTGTGACCATGACCTTTGACCATGACCTGTGACCATGACCTGACTCCTGACCCACAGAGACAGTAGGGCAGTGAAACAAGCAGCAGCACGAAGCCCCTAAAAGTCAACACTGTTTCTCAACCGTCACATGTTGCCGAGTTTTGAACTCATGTTGCTCTGTCTTACACAGTGCATTTCAATGAACTGAAACATCTACAATTTTTTTTTTATCTAATAATCTCACAGAATCTCACACTATGCTGGTCTGCACTGGATCTCATCTTTGTAGCATTTTTATAAAGAATTGGTCAATGAACCCGAAACAAGGACACAGAATCCTCTCTTCTATCAAGGCATTCAGACGTTTTAATCAATTAGTACAGCATCACAAATAACGTGATGGAGCAGATCTGACGTTACAGAGTCTCGCACTTCCCTTCTTGTCTTGTTAATCCTCCGCCGCTGTCAGCAGACACTGCTTTTAATTTGATTGCTGCAGATTTGGGGGGGGGGGTTGTTTTTCTCTCTTTTTAGCGTGACCAAGAAAAAGAACCAATACGTCTAATTTTTGGGCGACCGAGATCAGGAGGTCGGAAGATGTGACATGAACATCACGACACAAATGAGTCTCTACTGTGGACATACAGATACAGATGTCCTCTATCAAACTGGGTCATGTCCCCATCACTCAGCAACAGTATTTGGTAAAACAACAACGTTAGTCGGTTGAACCTGGGGCGACGTGTGTTAGTTGAGAAACCGTGGGTTAGTGAGCCCGTGCTGCCTGGATTAACTATTAGGAAATAAATCTTTATCATATTCCAAAGACTTCACTGTTTTCCAGGAGTATCTGGTTCTCCACCATGGTTTTTTTCTCCCTCTAATTGCATGTATTGCTAGAGTACACACAACAAGGGTGTGGACTGTAAAACCAATGTGCAGAAGGATCTAGGTGTTAGTTTTTAATGTGTTGCACCCTCTCAACCCTAGTAGTGGAATTCTATTTGATCTTTCCTCTGCCCTCCTAATCCCCCAACTGTGCTTTTCATCATCTCCATGGTCGGTCATCAGATACTCCTGGAAGCCATTCCCACCTGCAATCTCATCATCAAATCCAATCTGTCTTTCATCTCTTCTCCTTCACTCCCTCTCTCTATCTCTCTCTCCTGATCTTGGTCGTCTCTAATGTGGGAACGGCTGTTGTGAAAGTCAGTTGTGGTCTAGAAGTGGAAAGTTTTCTTTCTTTTTTCCACCTTCCTCCTGCCCACTTACATTGTACATCTACGCGGATGGACTTGATGGCAGCCACCCCCACCCCGTTGTCGGCCTTGCAGTAATAGCGACCTCCCTGCACCCTCTGGATGCCCTTGATACGCAGGGTCTCGTTGTAGATGGAAGTTTCTTGGAATTTCTCCGAGGCACTTCCTGCTGTTTTTGTCCATCGTACCTGGAGACAGAGAAGGAAAAGACATCAGATCATGGATTCACCATTTCCCTGAAAGGGATGAAAAACCTCTATAGGTGCGAGAAAAACAGAACCAGTTTGAGGGGGCAAATATTATAGGATCGAACTATGGAAAAGATCCGATCTGACGAAACAGATCCTGAATCCAAGAAGAGTTTTTCATCAGTGTTATAAAACCGTTCACCAAACATCACATCTGCACCGACACATTAACAATGATGTTTTTTCTCTCTCTCTCTTTTGTACCGATGTCTTTCAGGCTGCGTGTGTGCGGTCCATTAATCCCCATTAACCCCGCTGTCTTTCATGAACCTCCGGCAGATTATCAACGCGTCCTCTTGACGAGGTCACAGACGATAATGGGCAAAAGTGTTAATGAGTGCAAATGTTTGCAGGTAGAAGTGTGTGTCCACGCACTGATATGATATGTACACAGTTACATCCTCCACGGTGTAACAGTGTGTAACTCTGTGTGTGTGTGTGTGTGGCTCTGTTGTATGGATTAGAGGATTATCGGGGCTGTGTAAATGCTCCCTGTCTGTTTATTCAGCTCTGTTTGTGGGAGGGATTTGGAAAAGGCAGAATGCAATTGATCAGAGCAGCCAAGGTGAGCAGTGAATGGAACCGTGTTCCTCCATGGTTAAGTGACTCTAGTTTTGTGTGTGTTTGTGTGTGTGTGTGAACTGGAAAATAAAGGAGAAAAAATGTGCAAAAGTTTTTCTTAGAATTTTCTTTTTATATATATATAAAAAAGCAAAATCTTATCTGTAAAAAAAATGCCAGAATTTTACAAATACAAATTTTTAGTCAATTTTTTTTAGTATTTTTAGTATTTTCATTTGTGTATGCAGCAGATACCAAGGACCGCCAGAATTTTACAAATACGAATTTTTCATTTAGTCAATTTTTTTGTGTATGCAGCAGATACCAAGGACCATCACCGATAATTATGAAATGAACTTGAAGGTTGTGTGTGCTCTGTGGGAAATAAGGTGACGTGGAGTTTGTAGATGACACAGCTCTGTGGGAAATAAGGTGACGTGGAGTGGGTTTGTGGGTCGGGACACTGGATTGGCTGAGGGAGTGTTTAAATGAACAACCAGGTGCATTCCTAAAAAGAATTACACAGTGGTAAATATGAAATAATTCAGACTAGATGACGATGAGTGTGAATAGAAAAATAAACAGTAAATTAACTTTGTGTGTTTCGCTGTGTCGATTTAGTAAAATTTCATAAAAATGACGTGAATGAAATTCAAATGATTCCTTCAACTCAAGAGGCAGCTAAAGACTTGGTAGATCTAAAATATGATTCTCAAAAATATAGCAAAGATTGATGTCGGATAAGAAAACTCTGGAGGCTAGAAATATGTAAAAATGGGACAGAGTGTGTGGGAAATGAAAGCAGTGTGAGATGGTGAGACATACAGTCAATACTGAAGAGGTAAAATAAAAAAAAAAAACAGCGTGTGTGTAAGTGAGATATGTTTTTTTGCTTTTTTTCTGTAACTGAGTGAGAGCAAGAAGAGAATAAGAGAGAATGATTTTGCTGGCAGCAGCGTGATGGCAGGAAAAAGGAGCTTCACACTGGGAGTCCTCCACCAGGGAGGCAGATGAAGCAAAATGGAGCGAGGTGATATTGCGAATAAAGGCGATATTGTGTGCGATGCATATGACAGCCAGGAGGCGGAGGATCCTTTATCTGTGGGTGACACCGGCAGCTTAAAGCCGTCACCTGTGCTCTTCTCCTGACCTCTCCCTTCACACCTCTGTCTTTTCTTCCGTGTCAATAGGCATAGGATACAGTTCTTTCTGTTTCCAACCCAGGTCTCAGTGGATGGCTCTGAATATCCGTCTCAGTCGCTGCCACTTCTTTTCTTCTCCTTCCCCAAAGCCAAATCCAATTTGCTGTCAGAATTGTTGTCTGTTTACACCTGACGCATGGAGGACACACTTTTTTACATTTGTACATTGTTTTACTCACAGGTTTTTTCTGTAATAAAATGAACTACTGTACATCTACTTCAATATGTGGTGTAGAAGAAGAGTTTGGGATCCCTGGAGATCCGGAAGGTTCTCCAGTCTGCTGGGACCAAGGTGTCCCAGACACAGATGTAGAACTTTCTGGATGAGTTTTGTTGAAGGGAAAAGTTTTGTTTTGTACGAGTGGATGTTCAGCACCATTAGACCTTATGTCCAGACAGCTGCTAATGACCAGTGCACTAAAACACACTGACCACAGCACAAAGTGCCTTTAAATTTACCATTAGTGGTCGAATGGTGCCTGGTCATTATTTGCATTAGTTTCTATAATGCAAAATATGATGCTAATGGCTGCATCGCATTCTGTGCAATGAAATCTGTCGTAAAACCACACACTGCTTAGCAAAAAAAAAAAAATACTGTTGGAACTTTTTAACTTTTAAAACGCCTACTTAATGGAAAGTACCCTGCATTTACACATGACTGGTGTATTTGTGTGTATTTTCGTACATTGTTTTAGCCCCATGTCTTTTTTTTTCACTTTTTCTTTTTGTTTGTTTTAATGTTTAACATTCGTGGTTATTCAGTGAAGATAAGGATTTATGCCGGTTTTGTTGAAGTTTTCCGACAGTTTGAGACGTTGACAGTTCAGACCATCAGCCCTGAAGATTCCACTACGACTTGAAGTCAAATGTTCAGATTCCCTCCAGGTCCCAAAATCTTTCTTAAATTGTCCTTTTGAACTGAACTGTTTTGGTTCATGAAGCGTCAGGCGGTGCCGGCGGTGTTAACCCTGCAACGGGGCTTCTGTTGAGGAGTGGCGCTGCAGCGTTCTGAGGATCGACACAGTTTATAAGAATCTCTCTTCAACTCTGTTCTAATTGTCAGGATGAAGGCAGACAGTGTTTTTTTACAGAATAACATGAACTCCTGACACGGGGGCATTTAGTGCTCGTCAGCAACTTTTGTTTTTCCAGTGATTAAGCGTCAAAAAGATGGTAAATTGACAGTTTTATGAAACGCGGTCAACGAATCCTCACACGTTTGGATCTGGGTGCAGTTTTAAACTGTCGTCCAAGTGTGAAAAAAAGTGTAAAATTGATTTCCACCAGATTCCAATTTCAAAAATCCCTGGATAGAGGTTTGAAAAAAAAGAAAAAGAAAAGAAAAAAGAGCAGAAGAGCAGAAGAGTGTGTGATGCGTGTAGTGGTGAGTTGACTGAGAGTCACCTGCAGCTCAGTCTCCTTCATTTCCCAGTTCTGTGTGAGTGTGTGTTCGTGTGTGTGTGTGTGAGTCTTTGGATGTTGAGGTTGGGCGTTGTTTTAATCCCTCACTGTTCCTGTGAATTCTGCCTCTGAGCAGAAAATTGTTTGCAACATTGAACTCACACACACATGCACACGCGCACACACACACACATAAAAGCAGACACACACACCGACTTTCTTCTGACTTCTAAGCTGCCTCTGAGCGTCGTCAGAGTGACACATCACAACAGGATCTTCCAGACACAGTTCAATGGCTGCCAGAGCCTTTTGGCCTTTTGTCTAAAATGAATACTTCAGCGGGAAGTATATGAAAACTGGGCGACATTACAAACTGTTTAAAAAATACATTAGTATATGTATATATATATATATATATGTATATATATAAAATATATATGTGTATTCTTACTCTTAAACTTAAGTTTATTTTACTATACTACACAAAAAATATAGTATTTTTAATATTAATAAAAATAGAATAAAACAACTATACCCATAATAATAATAATAATAATAATAATAATAATAATAATAATGTTGATTGTTCATTAATAATAGTAAAGGTGAGGGAGAGCGTCTTGATCACTACTAAAGACATTCTATTAAAGCCCTTCAAAAGCACAACTAGCCATGGTAAAAATAATTAACGTAACTACACGCCTACGTTATCAATTATGTATTAAAGTCGTTTTACAAACAATTAGAGCAGACGTTGTAAAACTCCGCCGTTAAAGATAAACTCCTTCCCGTTCTAGCTGCCTGTTAGCGCCACCTTATCTTGCAGGACCCTCTCTGTGCCGTGGCAGTTTCCTGGGGCATTACTGAGTTTTTTCTATCCTTTATAGTCCGTCTCACTCTCTCACTGGGAGCCTGCCAGGCCTGCCGTGTACAATTTTACATCCAGTCTTTTCTCGATGTAACCCCAGCAGAGTTGACGATACAGTGCTTTATCCATCCAACTGGCTCACTAGCTGCAAATGAGATTAAGAACGTAATCCTGTTATCAGGGAATACGACTTGGCACGTATGTGGACGCAAACACACACACACACACATACACACACAGGCAGAGACAAACATGGAGGGGGAAAAAGTGAAAAGTGAAACTGACAATGACAGGAAAACACAACAGGTGGTTTAAAGGAATCTGAATTTAACTTCATTTCATTTTAGGGTACCAGACTGGACCTCTACCAGACTGGACCTCTACCAGACTGGGCTACGAGACTGGACTACGTGACTGGACTACGAGACTGGACCTCTACCAGACTGGACCTCTACCAGACTGGACTACGAGACGATTATGTACGTCTTTCGGCAAATAAACTGTTCAAGTATTTAGTTTAACTGTCTGGTGCTGAGAGGAATGGTATAAAAATAGAGTAAATTTTCTTAGATGTAAGGTTAAGGAAGCTCAGTGTATTCAATAAACCAATCAATCATGACAGAATGTTAATTAGCTAATTGATACCAATTGTGATGTAAGGAAGGAAGGGTTTGGTTCAGTGAATGTTATCAATGAGGCATCAAGGTGGAACAACAAAGAGAATACAGCAGAATGTCATCTCCATCTGACTGACGAGTCCTCATTCGTCAGCATGTACTTGTGCTAATGTTTAATTAACAGTCCAAGACTGTTCTGGACATGTAGTCAATCTGGTCTGTCAATTCAGACATGCCCAGGTTCACATTAAAAAGCCCTGGACTCTGTACATGAACCTACTTCAGGTA